AGTGGCGCTCCCGCCGAGGGTTCGGATCCCACATACAGACCGGCCGCTCACTGGCTGAGCGAGGTGCGGGGGCAACGCCGAGGGTTGCAATCTCGTTGCCGGTCCCCGGTCCGGTACGGGGGCAACACTGAGGGTTGCGATCCATTGCCGGACACGGAAAAAGACAAAAAGAAAAAAAAGAAAAAGAAAAAAGAAAAAAAGTGCTGAAATAATACAGGACCAAATAAGCAATCAGGGCCTCTGTCCTTCTCAAAATAGCCACTAGAGGGCAATGGAAGGCAGGTCTGAACTCCACCTGGAAGGGAGGTGGGCCTCAGGGTAAATGGATCCAATCATTGCAAGACTGCTTTCCTGATTACATTCTGTTGGCTAACTTCCAGTAGATACAGCTACTTTGTTTTAAGGTTGCTGTTGCTCTGTTTTCACTGTAATGTGTTTGATACAATGCAAGCATTCACCTGAGGGTAACCACTGGCTGTTTTCAGGTAGTGGAGAGACTGATTTTGGACCCCAGCTTGAGAACCTAAGTAAAGAGCTCTTCACTGTGGTCGCCTGGGATCCTCGAGGATATGGACATTCCAGGCCCCCTGATCGAGATTTCCCAGTGGACTTTTTTGAAAGGGATGCGAAAGATGCTGTTGATTTGATGAAGGTGGGTGTCTTAGGGAAGTGCCCTGGGGAAGGAGAATGGCTGGGCCTGATTCATTTACTTTGTTTAATTTTTGTTCTTTCTTTCTACAAAGGTGATGCCATGTGATTACTATAGAAAATTCAAATAATTTAAATAGGTGTTAAGAAGAAAGTAAAAATATCTCACAGTGCAACTATCTAGGGACACCACTACTGAGACTTGAAGACTCCGCCTTTCTGGCCAGTCTCATTACATATATACATACAGTTTTGTATTGATGGCATCATGCTATACCTAATGTTTTCCCAACTTACTATTCTTATTGAACAATTTGTCAAGGAGCTACTACTTACATGTCAATAAATATGCATTTACATTAGTCTTATAATACAAGAGTTCTTCAAAAAGTTCATGGAAAGATTTGTATTATCTTTTAATTCTATTTTTCCAGGAACTTTTTGAAGTACCCTTATAAGTACATAGTATTGCATTACATGGATGTGCTGTGTCTTATTTCACCCATCTTCTAATGGTAATTAATTTTGGGGAGCGGGGAGGAGCAGCTGGCTGGTACAGGGATCAAACCCTGGACCTTGGTGTTATTAACTTGATTTTTAAGTTGCCCCTCCCGCCCCACCCTTTTGCTATTATAAACAATGTTGTTGTGGGCATCCTGGACCTAGCTACTGGTACACATGCATGATGAGAGTTTCATGTGAATTTAGGAGATGATTTGCTGGGTTATAGAAGATGCAAGTGTTCATTTTATAAGATAGTGCCAAATTATTATGCATAGTAGTTAAATCAATTTATGTTCCTATCAGCAAATGTCTTGGACTAAAATTAGTTAATTCTTTAATTTTCTCAGTCATTTTATTTTCACTTCTAGGAAGCATCTCTCAGATGTAATCTTTGTCTGTTTTCCCTGCCAAACACATTTGCAGACCCTGGTTGATTCACCCAGGGACTAACATAACCTCCCATGACACTTCTCTTCCAGCCTGTCTCTAGCCAGTTCTTCCCACAGTTGAAGTCATTGGCTTTTCTAGATGTCCTACCTCATTTCATCCAGCAAATCTCAAGGTCCCCTCTCTAGTCTACATAACTTACTCAGGCATGCGTGTGTGCGTGCACATACACACACACACTGTATTTGTCATATCCAAGTACAGTTGATCTCCACTGGTTCTAGTCCTTTGAGATTTTATCCAGCCAGAAGATGTCATTCCCTCATAATTCAAACCCATATTATGCACTCAGATTTTTATGCCAATTATATTTACATCAAAACTAATTGGGAGAAAACGTTAGGTACACAAACGGTGGACTCTAGGATTTTTCCTTTATTAATGTTTAATGCTCCGGACCCACCTCTGTATTGATTCTAATCGTTATTGACTCTCAGGTTCTTCTAGCAGAGAGCAGCAATAACCTGTGCTGTTCATTTTACCGTATTCGTCACAGACGCTGAAGTTTCAGAAGATCTCCCTGCTGGGGTGGAGTGATGGCGGCATAACGGCGCTCATTGCTGCTGCCAAGTATCCATCTTACATCAACAAGATGGTGATCTGGGGAGCCAACACCTACGTCACTGACACAGAAGTCAAGATTTATGAGGGTAGGTTCTGCAAACTGGAGGCAGTGTGATAACGATCCTTCTCTTCTCTCCCCTTCTCATCTCTTATTTTGATATATATCAAGTCACATTTCATCTGCTTCCAGTTCTCAACCCTAAAGTGGGAAGAAAAATGAGCTCTCAGAAAAGTAATGCAGCTTATCCATTCTCAGTTTTAAAACTGTGGAACTATGGGCCGGCCCCGTGGCGCACTCGAGAGAGTGCGGCGCTTGGGTGCACAGCGGAGCTCCCGCCACGGGTTTGGATCCTATATAGGGATGGCAGGTGCACTCACTGGCTGAGCGTGGTGCAGACAACACCAAGCCAAGGGTTGCGATCCCCTTACCGGTCACAAAAAAGACAAAAAAACAAAAACAAAACAAAACAAAAAACTGTGGAACTATTATGGTTCAGGAAAAGGATAAGTAAAATTGATATTTACATTTACTACTACCTATGGTGAACTTCACGGAAGGAGGGGATGATGTGAGGTGTTAGTAATAACCTCATTTAAAATGATGAAGGTAAAAGGGAACATTGGATTCAAATATGAAACCTCATTTTTTTTTTTTTTTTTAAAGATGACCGGTAAGGGGATCTCAACCCTTGGCTTGGTGTTGTCAACACCACGCTCAGCTAGTGAGCCAACCGGCCATCCCTATATAGGATCCGAACCCATGGCCTTGGTGTCATCAGCACCGCACTCTCCCGAGTGAGCCACGGGCCAGTCCAAAACCTCATATTTTGATTTAAAGAATGTCTTGCATTTTATTATTATTATTATTATTATTATTTTATTTGGCAACTGGCCAGAGCTGGAATCCAAGCCCTTGAACTTGGGGTTCTAACACCAAGCTCTAATCAACTGAACTAACTTGCATTTTTTAAGGTTGTCCTTCAGGCTTTTCTATGAGGTTTCAGAGGCTCTAAGTAGAACAGGGGCCAGCAAACTGCAGCCCATAGATCAGATACAGCCTGCCTCCTGCTTTTCTAAGGCCTGGGCACCAATTGGGGAGGCTAGTGCTGTGAATCACAGAGACCAAGCTGGGGCGTCCCCTCCCTAACCCTTCCCCATCTCCTTGTTTGCTCCCAGCGTGGCTTCCCAGGCTGGGTGGTGGCCACTACACATGGGCCAGTCAAAACCAATGAATACTTTTAGGGTTGTTTTGCAGTATTCCCTTATTATCCTCTAAGAGTTTGTAGGGTCTGTGGTGATATCTCCTTTTTTTCTGATATTGATAATTTGTGTCATCTCTTTTTCCTGACCAGTCTGGCTAGAGGATTATCCATTTCATTGATCTTTTTAGAGAACTAGCTATTGGTTTTGTTGATTTATTTCTACTGTTTTCAGGTTTGTTTCTGCTCTTTAGTATTTTCTTCTTGCTTGCTTTGGGTTTTGATTTGCTTTTTTTCATAGTCTCAAAGTAGAAGCTTAGCTTATTGATTTGAGACTTTTCTTCTTTTGTAATATAGGCATTTAATGCTGTAAATTTCCCTCTAGGCGCTGCTACATCTAAGCAGCCTACAAATTTTGATATGTTGTATTTCCATTCAGTTCAAAACATTTTCTGATATCCCTGCAGACTCCCTGTTTGACCCATGTTCGTTTAGAATTGTATTTTCTTTCCAAATAGTTGGGGTTTCCTAGATACCTTTCTATTATTGGTATCCAGCTTAATTCCATTGGGTTTAGAAAGCATACTTAGTATGATTTCAATTCTTTTAAATTTGGTAAAGTTTGTTTTATGCACCAGAGTATGGTCTGCTTTCATCTAAAATTTAATTCATTATTTCATGACCCTTCCCACACCTAGCCCCTGCCCACTATCTCAGTTAGTGGCCTGCAGTCTACTGGGGCATCTGAGCCAGAACCCCAGAGTCCTTCCTCGAGGGCTGATCCTCCTCTACCCTCTTCATTGAACTGTGACTGCATTCTGTTGAGACCACATTCATAACACCTCTCAAGTTACCCCCTATCCCTTCTTCCCACCATTTTTCCAGTTTAGGCCCTTAGCCTCTTAGGTGGTTGGCCTTCCTTAAGAGAGTTTTCTTTCTAAGGCAAAAACCTGGTCATTTAATTCTACTACTTGAAATTCTCCAATAACTTCAATAAAGTCCAAGCAGAATGCCTGGTCCCTGCCAGTCTGGCCCTGCCCAGCCTTTCCAGCCTCTTCTCATCCACTCCCCGGTGCTGCCGTGCATCTCCCATGTTGAATATTTTCCTGAAACAAGCTTGCCCCTTCCTGCCTCTCTGCCCTTGCCCCTGCTGCTGTGCTGCCTGTGTGGCCTTCCCCTCCAGCCACGTTCTCCTCAGCAAACACATCTCTACCCAGTACCCAGCTCCCAGAGTACCGCCTCTGGGAAGGTGCGTGGAGCCCTCGGCCTGCTGCGTGCTCATCCCTGCTGGATCCCTCCAGCCACGTTCTCCTCAGCAAACACATCTCTACCCAGTACCCAGCTCCCAGAGTACCACCTCTGGGAAGGTGCCTGGAGCCCTCGGCCTGCTGCGTGCTCATCCCTGCTGGACGCTGGGGCGCTGCCTTGTCCTGGCACTGGCACCCTTTCACTCCTGTACCCAGTCACTGCAGTGTGGACTTGCCACATGCAGTGGCTCTGACTCTCCTTTCTCTTCTTTTCTTTTTTTTGCTGGCTGGGGCAGGATTGGACCCTGGACCTCTGGTGTCATCAGCACCACACTCCAACCGGCTAAGCTGAGCGGCTGGCTTGACTTTGCTTTCTTTGCGAAAACAAAACTTCCACCCTGTCTCACATCTCTCTTTACTGTCCCATACACCTTTACTGCCCTTACCAGCCACAGTTTCTCCTTCTCATTCCCCAGTCTCTCCTTAACTTGTGACACATGGCTTCTGACCCACCAGTGCAGTGGAGACAGTGCCTTCACATGACCAAGCCCATGGAACACATCACTGCCCTTTGCTTCCTCAGTCATTCTGTAGCATTTGAAAATGCACTCATAATGTGTGTGACAGTGCCCACACCCTCCTCTTGAAGCTTTCTCTGTCCTGAAGTTCTTGCTACCCTGTTCTCTCCATTTCTCCCTCCTCTCTGTTTGCTTCTGGCTGTGACATGTGCCCGATCCTCTCCACGGGGTGGGTGGTGTTGGGGTCCTCCAGGCGCCATCTGCGTGCTCTGATCCTTTTCTCATACACCCAAGTAGCTTCGCTCATCTCCTGGTGTCACCCAACCCCCAAATCCCGGACTTTGGAGTTTTTACTCAGTTTTCTTACCCAGTTGCTCTACATGTACCTTACATTTCACCTGGTCATCTTTCCTCTAAACCTGTGTCTCCTGCTCAATTTCTTGTCTTGATAAATGATATACTGGAATATGCTGTTTCTTTCACAAGATAATATTTTTAATTACTATATATTGAGTACCTGCTGTGAGCTAAGGTTTTTAACCCTATAGAGCCCCTGAAGGTAACTGCTGCTCAACCTGCCTCTCCCGTGAGGAAGCAGGCTCACAGGGGTAAGAACACATGCTGTGATGGCGCGGCAGGGGTGACACTGTGGCACCGTGCAGCCTGCACTTCATGTCCCGCCGCCGCCTCCACGCTCTGCGTTCTCCATGCGTGCTGCAGCTCCGGCTCCGGCCCTGGCTGCGTGCATTGACCCAGCGCCTCTCCCACCGGTCCCGTCCTTACCCACGGCCTTACCCGCATCCATCTGCTTTCCACACTGCTCTGATAGCTGTTTGGTACACTGTAAATCTCATTGTTTCTCTCTTAAAAATCCTTGCAGGACTCCCCATAACTTGCTGGATAAATTGTTCAAACTCCTCAGCTACACACACCGAGCAGGTGGCCCAGGACCTCCCTGTCCAGGTGCTCCTCCCAGCACTTCTGCCTCACCCCACACGTCCCACTTCGCCTCAGCCACCTGCCCGGCTGCAGCGGGCGAACTGGCTCTCTGCCTCTGCACCCACAGTAGGCGCCCTGCCCACCCCCACACCTGCTTCTGACTCGGATTCCCAGACTCAGCCTGAGCTCAAGCACCCCCCTCAGCCACTCCCTTCCCATTGCCCTTTGAGCTCACCTACAGAGCCACCTCTGTCCCCCTCCAGCCTCTCCCACGACACTTAGTACATTGTACTACTGCTGCTGTTTAGAAGTTCTCGACTGGACCATAAGGCCCTAAAAGGCAGAGACCATATCTCATTCAAGTTCATATCTGCGGTAACTAACACACAGCAGACTTCAAATAATATTGACTGGATTAATTCACTAATTAATGATGAGCAAATGAGTTTCCTTCATTACAATTCCAATGTTTAGCAAAATTATATGCTAAAAAAATATATATCAGTTTCTTTTTGAGGTACAGGTTAGTTCTTTTTTGGATCAGTAAACAGTTTGATACAAATGGTTATTTTGGGAACTTAACTATAAAATATAATTACTAAATTTTTGGTGGTCATTACTGAGCTTTCAGGCAAAACTGGTTTCCTCTTAAAGTACATTAGCAGAAGTAAATATATAAATACAAGGAATATTTTTTTTCCTTTTTGTCTTTTTTCGTGACCAGCAACAGATCGCAACCCTCAGTGTCGTGCCCGTACCGGACTGGGACCGGCAACGGGATCGCAACCCTCGGTGTTGCGCCCGCACCTCGCTCAGCCAGTGAGCGGCTGGTCTGTATGTGGGATCCGAACCCTCGGCGGGAGCGCCGCCGCACTCCCAAGTGGCACACTGTAGCAGTGCGCCACCGGGCCGGCCCCTACAAAGAATATTTTTGAATGCTTGTTATATGTCAGGCACTGTTGTTAGCATATTTCATATTTCATGTGTTAACTTGCTTTTTATTCCAGAGTGGTGTTTAAATTCTCATTTTTCTGTTGAGGAAACTGTGGCCCAGAGAGGTTAAGTAACTTTCTCAGTGTCACAGAACTATTAAGTGCTGGGGCTGGGATTCAAACCCAGGCAGTCTGACTTCTAAGTCTGTGTTTGATATGAACATTTGGCTTATCCCAGCTACAGCTGGATTCCTCTGCCCCTTGAGATTTAAATACTATTTCCTGTGGGAGTCCAAAGCCTTGTCCCAGATTTGACATTCCCATAGATACCTCTTGCTCCAAATGCCCGCTTTTACTGAGTTAATTCATTCAAAGGATCTCTTGCTGTCCCATGACGAAGACTTTGTTTTAGCAAGAAAAACATCTTCTTGTTGAACATTAGCCAACTTAGTTTTTAAAAGATCTGGGCCTTCCCATCGAAAGCAACTTTTTTTTCCTAATTGATTTTTAAGTTTTTTATTAATAATATGTAACATGTATAATGCAACCCCTGTGACATGCCTGAATTATGACACCCATGAACCCACCAGGGTACTCAGGATCGATTGCTGCTGACACCTTTGTGTCTGTGTCTTTTCTCCCCAGCCCACCCCAACCCCAGCCTGAGCCCTGCAAATCAGCCTTGTGTCTTTTCGAAAACAGTTTTGTTATATGCTTATGTCCCTAAACAATGTATAGTTTGTTTTTGAGCTTTACAGAAATGATTTCATACCGTGTATCATCTTCTATGCACTTTGTATTTCTGAGACTCTATCATGATATCACTTGTAGCTGCAGTTCATTGCTTTTCATTGTTGTATCGTATTCCATTGGGCAAATATGTCAGGTTTTATTTACCCATTCTTTTACTGGTGGACAGTAGGTTCATTTCCAATGTTGCACTCAGGCTTACCTCTGCATATTTAAACCAATCAGCAGCAACAGAGGCAGTCACCTTCCTGTGAGGGGATCCACTCTTCTCAGAAGGCACTCGTAGTCATAAATAGCAGTTTTTCCTCCATTCAGCTATGTCAATTCACTGAGTACATACTTAGTGCCTGCCAGGCACCTGGCACTATCCAGAGCTTTGTGTAGATTATTATTCCATATAAATTCATGTCATTAGTGTCATGTTGTCTTTCAGGTGTATGGTTTAGCAGAAGTGCTGTATTAAAAGATCTCAATAAACAATATTTAATATGCTCAAGAGCATTAGAATCTTTAAATTATCACAGTGTGTTGAAAGAAATACAGAAAAAATGGGACTAAGTAATTGCATTTGTTGATTCATTTTAGGTGCGGGGGCAACACCGAGGGTTGCGATCCGTTGCCGGACACGGAAAAAAGACAAAAGACCAAAAAAAAAGTAGTTTCTAGCTAGTATTTCTTTCCTACCAGTGAGTCATTTATAATACAGTTTGAAATTAGCAGATAGACTTATACCCATGTTCCTGCAGTAGCAGAAATTAGAATGAATAATCTGTATGCATTTCTCAATGTACATAAAAATGCAATTTAGAAAAAAACTCCTACTTTATAAATGATGTCACTCTTTCTCAGGCAACCCTAATTAAAGGAATATTTTCTTTTGTACCTTTAACAGAAAGCATTAAGTGCAGGTCTCATTTCATTCACTCAGTAAGTATTTCTTGTGGGCCTGTGTTGTGGGAGACACTGGTCTAGGCCTTGGAGCACAGTGGGAAGCCGAGCCAAGCCCCTTACACAGGGGCACATCCTAGTGGGAGGAGTCAGCCAGCCATGGACACAGAAGACCATGCAAAGTAGTGAAGAGTGCTGAGCAGAGGTCAGGAAGGTCAGCAACATTTGAACAGAGACCTGGATGCCTAAAGAGTAAACCATGTGAACACCCAGGGCCAGGGGCCAGGGGGCATTCCAGGCAGATGGAACAGTGAGTGTAAGGACTTGCAAGTGGTCTGTGCTTGGAATATTTAAAGATAGTACTTTAGTATGAGACCAAACCTATCCTCGTCCACACTTCTGTTTTTCAGGCATTCGAGATGTTTCTAAATGGAGTGAGAGAACAAGGAAGCCACTAGAAGCCCTGTACGGGTATGACTACTTTGCCAAAACCTGTGATAAGTGGGTGGATGGCATGAGACAGTTCACACATCTACCAGATGGTAGGTTGCATGGAGTATTTAATGGTTCCTTTGCCTATTAGAGAGAATGTTTGAATTCCTCCCCTGATGTTCCAGAATTCCTTCATGATTAATGAATCCACCCATTATCCTTCCACACTGATGTGTGCACAGAGAATACTAGTTATTGTATACAATACAAGGTCTTGTATAATAAACCTGCCTAAACTAGAGACAGGACTGCATGTGTAAAGGAGCATGTATTCCTGCATGTATTATTGAGTCTGTAATAGCAAATTATTCTTTTTCCTTCTAATCCTTTGTGTGATGACAAAATAATTCTCCATAAGCTTCCAATAGTTTGTTTTCTAATTCCAGAATGGGTCATTAAAAAACAAGCCACAGTATAGACAATATTTTTTCCTTTTTTGCACATTTAAATGTGTCGCCCCTCTACATCCTCTGTTAGTAGGACAAGAAAGGAGGAAGTTTGTCATGATCCTCAACACCAGCAGAATCCATATGAAGAAGAGAGGGTTCAGTTATTTTTCCATCTTCAGAGCTAAGTTATATGACCTCAGCCATGAACAGAAGTCTCCCTTCCTTTATCTGAAAAATTAACAAGATTTCCATTAACCTTAAGAAATTTACATCTTTAAGAGAAATTCTAACTTAAAGTCTATTTTTGTACAGCTGTTTATGTTTGTAATCTCTCAAACATCCTTTTTTTTTTTTTTTTTTTTTCTTTTTTGTCTTTTTTACTGA